TCGAACAAGTCGTATCTGCTACAAATATAGCTATACATTTTAGCTTGTGTGCTTTATTATTAGCCAAACATTTAATCACAATTGACCTAATTTAGTCTCCAAATAAACATTCCTGACCTAAATGCAATTGTCAGCATTGCCACAAGGGGCACTATAGTGAACATTAGCATAAACAGTCTTCTTCTACAGGGTTTGTCTTTTCTGTCTTTTTCTACAGTTTTCTCTACTGTGCCAGTACTGTGATGGCAGAACAACCTTGCTAATAGCTGTGCCTGAATTATACCACATTTGGTTTAATAGCAGAGACATTTAAGCACTATCGCCCCCTAGACTGTTGGAGTTTGTACTGCCAAAGCAAAAGCAAGAGCACAGGTTATGTTATATGCTGTACTATTAAATGCAATTAGTTAAACCTAGCACTTTTTTAAATTTAAATTTTAATATGTAATTGCTTACTACTAGACTATGCTATAGTCTTTTAAATATGTTTAAAGTGTATTGCCGAATGTACTGACCAGTGTTGGGGGTAACGCATTACAAGTAACGCGAGTTACGTAATCAGATTACTTTTTCAAGTAACTAGTAAAGTAATGCATTACTTTTTAATTTACAAGAGAATATCTGAGTTACTTTTTCAAATAAGTAATAAAGAAGTCCACTTAATTGTACTGAATGAGCACTTGTAGTGCACTTCAAATCTTAAAAATGTATTAAAAAAAACTAAATTGCAGATAATATAATATTAATGAGGTGAAAGGCCACTTAAGCATACTTAGAGTACACTTTCATGACTGTTTCTTAACACACTTAAGTACACTTTTAAAAAGTCCACTTTGATGCCATATTAAAAGTTTTAAATCATTATGTTTTCATAAGAAGTACTTATTTTGATGTGTTGACTTCCTGTACTAATGCACGTGAAGTACTTTAGTACTTGGGAATTTGAATTGTCATGTATTATTCAGTATTACATTTAAAATAAATATATATTATTTTCAGCACATGCACAATTTCATTACAAATGTGTAAATACAAATATATTTAAATAAATGGCATACAAGTTTCAATGACATTAATGTATATTTAGTTTACCAAAAATGCATCAGTATCATCAGTAAATATAAAGATCTACTTAGGTCCTACTTAATAAATGCACTCTTAAGTTCAACTAATTGCACTTAATATAAATGTAAAGTTTATAATACATTTTCATTGTAATAACATGCAGTTAAGTGCTTGAAAACATTACATTGCGTTTGCACTTAAGTATATTATTTTAAAGTATATTATTTCTGTAATAAGTACTCATTTAAAAAAAAAAATCTACATTTTTAAATCTTTTTCACAAGGGGCGGCAAAGGAGAGGCAGAAATTGACAAAAAAATGCATGTTATTAGTTTTCTTATGGCTTTGCATGAATGCAATAAAATGATAATAAAATTAACAACACATACACATTTATTAATTAATTAATTTTTATTTTTCTGTTTTTTTTTTCTTCTTTTCATTTTAGAAATGTTCAGATTTGTGATACGTTAATGGTCAGACATATTGTAAATATAAGATATTTTTCAGAATTTTTATTAAAATACATCTGCAGCTATCTTTTATGATGATAACACGACAGACTATAAGATAGTGTAACATGTACAAACAGGAAGTAGTCCAGATAAAATTTCCTAACTTTTTGAAAGGCCAATTTCCATTGTGGTAAAACCACAGACATGAAGTCAAGGGAGCTTTAAAAAAAAAAAAAAAAGAAGAAAAATATTTTATTATACATACTGGGGAACATGCAGCTTTTTTTTACACGTCATGTTTTCCAACAAAAAATATGCATTTTAAATAAAATTTTACCTTTTGACAATGTACAAAATGCTTCTTCCATGCTTACAGAATACAAATGTGCATACAGTATAATTTCTGATTTGTTGTTTAAAGTTTATTTAAATTTATTTTCATCGAACGTGGCAAATGAAGACTGACCCGTGTGTTAACAAAGCTTTGATTTCTTTGTAAGAACATGATGCTCACCCTGAAAGCCGGCTTCAGCCAGCCTGGCTAAGCCTAGTCTGAATGATTTTAGAAGGTTTTGCGGTATTTGTCAGTTTAGCCAAGCTGGGAGGCCATGCAGCTACAGCAGCAAACCACCACAAGCTGTTTTAAACAAGTTATATGATCCTATGAGCACACTGCTCTTTGTGGGATTTTTTTTCTCTTTACTGACTTTTTCCACCAGCCCAGATATGGTTTGATCTACCTTATACTTTGAGAAAATGCTCTTAAATCTAAAACATCAGAAGGATTTGCAAATGTCCTTAAGTGTCATATGCAATCAATGATAAAACAAGTTCAAAGGATCTTTTGAACACCATTCTCACAGATCTTGTTCTTGTCAAATACTAGTTTACTATAGGCTTTTGAATTAATACTCTGTTAGGATGAACTCAGAAAATGTTAATGCTCATATGTTGCTCTTTCATAGCTCAGGAGAATTAGAGCTCTCGCAAATGTTTAAATTTCGATTTAATTTGAATTTGTTTTCTGAAAACTCCTTTAGGGGACTTGAAGTAAAAATTATTATTTTTTTATTGGATCAAATCAACTGCATTTTTATGATTTTATTTTTTTTATCATTGAATATAATGTCTGACCCAGACCTGCATTTCGCCAAGGAATTAAATTTCTTTCAAATGCTGTTTCATGTTGACTTTATGCAGAAGTAATAATTTGCTCCTTTTAATAGTGTTGCTGTCTTGGAGAAACAAATATTCTAATTTTATACTCATTTAGCATCTATAGTCAATTGATTACGAGTCGGTGCATCCTTGGCATCTGTTTTTCGATCTGTATCTTGACATTCAGGATGTGGCTCAGTCTTCTCAGCACGAGAGAATGTGAGGTGAAGGAGAGCTATGAACAGACAAGATGCACAGGGCTGCTAATTAGCCAAGCAGAAATAAACCATCTGTCAGTCTAATGTGTGACTGCTGTGCTTCACTCATATGAGACTCCAACCCACCCAGGAGAGAGAAATTGTGAGAATCTTGAGTCAGCGGAATGAGTTCTGATAGATTTGTCAAGTCACTGGACATCGTTTTAAGCAGTTAAATGTTGCATGTAGTTTACAAGGCTATTGCTGTGTTGCTATTATGATTAATGAATTACTCAGGTATCAGTTAAAGGGAAATTGTATTGCTCTTTTAAAGCTCAGAAGACTTAAAGGCTTATGTTGTTTTGAAACCTTAATTTTTTTTTCTGTCTGTGGAACACAAAAGGAGATAATTAGCTAAATATCCACGCAGTTCCTTTATATATAATAAAAGTGAATAGAATATATGACTGTCTATCTCAGAATGAACAAATAGCACAACAGTAGTGCACTTCTGGACTACTGTAGTGTGCTCTATTTTCCAAGTCTTCTTTAGTCATATGGCGCGAAATCGAACAGACCATAACAAAGAAAAAAAAAGTAATGACAGCAAATTATATCCTTTCTTTCTTTCTTTCTTTCTGATGACTTGCCCTTGTGGGAAAAGAACTGATTTTGGCACTTAATTCCATGTTAATTTAATGCAATTAAATAAAATGTATTACAGTTGAATGTATATTATATAAAGTTAGCTGAACTTTGGAGTATGTTTTTTTTCACTTAATTTATTATTTAAATGCTAATGTTTTTTATTCCAAGTCTTCTTTAGTCATATGGCGTGAAATCGAACAGACCATAACAAAGAAAAAAAAAGTAATGACAGCAAATTATATCCTCTTTCTTTCTTTCTTTCTTTCTGATGACTTGCCCTTGTGGGAAAAGAACTGATTTTGGCACTTAATTCCATGTTAATTTAATGCAATTAAATAAAATGTATTACAGTTGAATGTATATTATATAAAGTTAGCTGAACTTTGGAGTATGTTTTGACCCACTTAATTTATTATTTAAATGCTAATGTTTTTTATGATGTAGGATTATAGGATTAGGTTGTTAATTTTTTGTTTGTGTGTGCGCGTGTGTGTGTGTGTGTGTGTGTTGATGTTGCAGCAGTTCTCGTATCCAAAACAAATTTCTCCTAAGGGAGACAATAAATACTTCCTTGAACCTTGATTTTATTACACGCACACACACGCACACACACGCACACACACACAGTGCTAATCCACTACTCAACAAGAACCAAAAGACGCAATAAGAGCCAAAAGACACAACAATTGAACACCTTGTATATCTTTATTACTTTGAACCTAAAGGATACACAATCAAAAAAACTCGAGGCTTTGCTACATCTCAACTAACAACAGCACAAGATTTCAAAAAATCAATTTTTTTCTGACAACAAATATAAAAATGGAAAAAGAGCAGACTTGTGACCAAACATAGCAGAAAATCAAGCTTTGGCAGGAATTCAGATGAGACATTTCAGCAAATCATCTCAGGAGTCCAAGGTTTTGCCTCTGGTTAAATGCAAGCATAGACACCAGCTAAAGCAAGTCGCAAAGCTCTAAACACCTCCATCCATTGAGAAACAGTGAGAATATTACAATGTGTCTGATGAACATACACACCATGGGTAATTGCTCTCATGAGTTATTTACATCGAGGTTCAAAGTAGGAACCATAACATTCTGTACATGTACAATTTGTTCTTTTGTCATTTTATTGATGGTCTATATCAATATTTCATCAATATGTTGTAATAGGTTGTACATAAAAATGAGTCTAACAAGTAGGGTGTCTGTTTTCATAATCTAATGTGAGCATGTATGTATATTTTCTGCCGTTTCAGAAATAAAAGCACAAAACTCCCTGTTTTATCATGCCTTTCAAGATTGTTGTTACCTAACTACATAAGGGGCTTATGGGTATTCTGCTTTCAAAATGGGTCATTGACACTCACAGACATTGTGGGAAAACCGCTCGACGAGATTGCAGAGTCATGCCTTTGTACAAACAATAGTTAAGTATTAAATACTAAAAAATGTACAACAAAATTAAATAATAATAAATAAAAATAAATAAATGAATATAAGATTGAAACTACGCAGCTAAAAAATTAAACACAGGACATAAAAGAAACAAATGAGCCGGTGGAAATATTGGGGAATTAGGGAATTGCATGATGCAGGTGAACATAATAACTACTCTTTAAAAAGCAGTGTGGGGAATCTCATTGGCTGTCTGTGTTGGGAGGCTTGACATCATGCTGGGCACTTCCAGCGGGAAGCCATGGAGAAATGGAGCGGGAGGTGGTCTGCTTGGCCATGCTGTAGTGGCTGATGACGGTGTAAAAGCGGCCGCGGCTGTTGGCGTCCTGGGCGGTGTAGTAGGCCTCCAATGAGGCAGGGATGCAGCGCTTGTGCTGTTGGAAAAGTTGGGAATATTAGAGCTATGAATTTTGACTCCAAATTTGTTGTCAGTATATGAACATTATTATTATTTCTGTCATGACAACTCTCGGAGGGATTGGCATGGTAATGTACATGACAATGTTAATGTATTTGGTCTTGGCGGAATAGTACCGAGACTTGCTACTGCCAATACATCCACAACATGCTGCTGTGAGCATGTAAGAAATATTGCTGCTGCAAATATAACATACATTTTGGACTTTTTGGCCTTTAATTTTGTGGAATTTTGTCTGAAAACAAAGTAAGCGTGAGTATTATTTTGAACAACTATATGAATTTTCCATCAGTGTATTTTTGCAGTATTTATCTATAATAACTGCTATTATTCATAACATTTGACAGAAATCGACTAGTTTGCCTTATTTTCAGACATTAGTGGTTTAGTTTAGTTAAATTAAGTTATCATTACAGATGGTATTTAATTTAATTCATTGCTTAAATATTTTTGAAATAATGAGTGGAATAATGATTGTATAATTGGCTAATGGCTGTAAAAGATATTTGTTGCACAAGTGAAGTGTTTTATTTAGCGCTGACATGTTGTAGTTTAATAAATGAAGAACATGAAGAAGTTTTGTGATCCATCATTCATAACATTTGACAGAAATCGACTAGTTTGCCTTATTTTCAGACATTAGTAGTTTAGTTTAGTTAAATTAAGTTATCATTACAGATGGTATTTAATTTAATTCATTGCTTAAATATTTTAGAAATAATGAGTGGAATAATGATTGTATAATTGGCTAATGGCTGTAAAAGATATTTGTTGCACAAGTGAAGTGTTTTGTTTAGCGCTGACATGTTGTAGTTTAATAAATGAAGAACATGAAGAAGTTTTGTGATCCATCTACTTACCTTATACACGAAGCCATCAGGGCAGGTGTGGTCATAGGTAAAGGCTTTGTACACCACCAGAAACACTATACAGGCCAGAAAGGCCAAGGCCAGTACGATGAGGATGCTCACCTGTATATGTAAAAAAAAAAAAAAAGACACAAAGTTCATTACTGTGCCCTTATAGCAAGTCTTTAAGATTGACACTTTCCTGTAGCTCAAACAGTAGAGCATGTTAAGGTCATGAGTTCAATTCCCGAAAAGCATTAAACCAATAAAATGTAAATGTGATCCTTGAATCCAATGTAAGTCGCTTTGTAATAAAGTGTCTGCCAAATGCATAAATCTAAATCTAGGATCAAATGGTCAATGACATTAACGACTACAGCTGAATTTGCAAAAAGGTCATAATTGAACAAAATTGAAAAAATAAATAAATAAAATATATTTAAAAAAAACTCCATCCACGGGAATCAGCCAACAAATAGATAGTTTACTCTGTATATTAAAACTACTCTAGTTCTAATGGAACAAATGGAAAGCTAATGGAATAAGACAAAAACACAATTATTAAGATTCAGATTCTCAGGTGAATTTATATTTTGTGGGAATAAGACGATATTTTAATAAGACCAATTTTTAAAATAAATATATTTATTTCTTACTTGTTCTATTTTTGCTTTTTTTTCCAGGTTGGATGCATGATACAGTCATGAAAAATATACATTTATGTTGCTCTCACATACTATAAGAAATGGGTTCAAAAGTGTGCCGTACATCAACACTACATGGGCGTCAACTATGAAACAAATGTAAAACAGCTTTCAATTTCAAGCTCTCTGTTTGTTCTCTGAACCTCTGCAAAGGCAAAGACAGAACTGGGGCTAAATAGTCTGATGGAGACAATAGTGTGATCACATCTCTGTTGTCTTTCTTTCCCATCAGCGCTACTTTTTTCACATCACTGTCATCTTCAAGTACATTTACCTCACAGGATGCAGTTCAATCTGTCACACCACATTTGTCTCGATAAAGCAGCTCATACAATAAATCTACGTGGTCCAAACTAGAAATCCGAGGCTTAAAGAAGGCAATTCTCAACCAGACCAATTTGTCAGGGGTGATTAGTTCTGTAAAAATTCAGGCCATTTTCAGCATTTTAGTCCCAGAAACAATTTAATGTTAATAAAATTCACAATTCATTTCAGTTCATGTCTCAGAATGTATATTTTTTTGTTTGTAATTTCACAGCTGTAATACCATAACATGTTACTGAAGTTGGAAAGCGCCACTTTTCTATCGCGAATGTGCCGAATCTGCTGATGTAATTACAACCGCTAAATGATAGAGAAGGGGAGGGGGAGGCCGGGGGAGAGCTGAGCTCTCATGCCTCCGTAGGTAAAAAAAAATGAGCCAATCAACATTGAGTGTTCACTTTCGGCGCTGAGGAGTGTTGAGAAAAGAAACCTCGCAGGGGAGGCTAGCCTCCCTTCCTGAATATCAACCAATCATCATAGAGACTTAAATTACGTGATATTAGTTTGAACGTCTCCTGCTGCGCTGATAATGTACCAAGTACTTATGATGAGTAGCAATATTGAATATTTGATCGCCAACAGATTTACCAAGCTGTCATTCAAACAGTATATACACAAATTAAAAATAAAGGGAGAACACGCATAAGCTGGATATAGGCTAACGTTACAGCAGTCGGCTCTTTTAACACAGACTTTTAAGAAGGGATGGATGTTTGATAGGCCAGGTAAGTGAAATTATATTATCTTGCTATTATATTATATATGATATTATCTTGCTATTATATTTTCTTTTTACGTTTTCTGACTAAAAGCGACCAAAAAGCCATTTAAAGTGGTTAAGCAAATAATAATAATAATAATAATAATAATCGGCAGGGATCACCAGCCCAATACAATTAGTGTGCCTCCTCTATTTTAAAACCCACGAGTCGCCACTGAACGGATGTTTTTTAGGACTGACTAATTTGAATTATGCAAATGGAAATGAAAGATAAATGATAGTAAACCAGTCAGTGTCTAAATATTTTAGAGCTCTCCAAGATACTGAGAAACGTGCTGCAAAAATCAATAAAACCTGTCATCAATAAAAATCAATAAAAAACTGCCATCTTATATCAAAATTACTATAAACAACTGAGTCCACAACACTATGGACACTGTTTTTGTGACACTAGAGTAGACGATTTAGAGAAAACAGAGGGTGTATAACCGTACTGGAAGTTTGTGAGTGAACATCAGATGAATGGAATTTTTTTCTACATGTACAGTATATGACATTTGTGAACTGGACAGCAACATAAGTGTGCACTAGATGCAAAGACAGCAACATTATGCTGCCTCCTAAGATATGTACTTTTAGACATAATCTAAGTCATATACACACACACACACATTCATATATATATATACATATTTATTTATTTATTTATATATATATACACTGCCGTTCAAAAGTTTGGGATCAGTAAGAATTTTATGTTTTTTAATGGAGTCTCTTGTGCTCATCAAGGCTGTATTTATTTGATCAAAAATACAGAAAAAAAATTTATATTGTGAGATATTATTTCAATTTCTAATAGTGGTTTTTTGTTTCAATATACTTTAAAATATAATTTATTTCTGTGATCAAAGCTGAATTTTCAGCATCATTACTCCAGTCTTCAGTGTCACATGATCCTTCAGAAATCATTCTAATATGCTGATTTATTATCAGTGCTGGAAACAGTTGTGCGGCTTCGTTTTTTTTTTGTTTTTTTTTGGAAACTGATACTTTTTTCTGGATTATTTTATGAATAAAAAGTTAAAAAGAACAGCATTTATTTAAAATAGAAAGCTTTTGTAACGAGTCTTTACTGTCATTTTTTAAAATCAATTTTACACATCCTCGCTGAATAAAACTAATTTATTTCAAAAACGGAAAGAACAAATATAGTAGACGGGACTATGTTAACACCATCTCATACCATTAGAAATTTGGGTGTAATATTTTACTCGTCACTTACATTTCAATCTCATATTAGTTCAATTACCAACACTGCATTTTACCACCTCCGTAATATTGCCCGCCTGGCATCCAACTCTCAGCACCAAAGACACTGAAACTCTCATTTACGCTTTGATAGCCTCTCATTTCAACTACTGTAACTCACTTCTCATTGGACTGCCAGCTAAAACTATTACAGTATGTTCAAAACTCTGCCGTCAGTGTCATCAATTAAGTCAAAAAGTCTGAACACATTACCCCTTTACTTTATAATCTACATTGGTTGCCTGTTTCTGTTCGCATTCAGAATAAAATTATTTTGTTAACTTTCAAATGTCTTCATCGACTTGCTCCCCATTATTTATCTGAACTGCTGTACTATTATTCACCTTCTCGCTCTCTTCAGTCATCTGACTCAAACCTGCTGACTGTACCTCGCTTTCGTCTCACATCAATGGGTGGTAGACCTTTCAGTGTTGCAGCTCCGAAACTCTGGAATTCTCTTCCACTAACTCTTTGCGACACCTTCAATATATCATCATTCAAAACTTTTCTTAAAGTATTTCCAGCCTTCTTCTAACTAATGTTCTGCTGTGAAACTACTGCGTATCTGTGTTGTGCTTTCTGGTTTTGCTATTAAGTCACTGTGTATATTTATATGTATGCATGTGTATATGCATGTACTGTATAATATCGCATGTATTCTTGAATGAAGCTGTGTTTATGTATTTTCTCCTTGTACAGCGACCTTGAGCTTGGGAAAGGCACTTTATAAATAAAACATTATTATTATTATTATTATTATTATTATATAAATCATAAAATCAACTCAACAGCAAAACTGCCAAGAGTAATTTGTGTTGTGTTCTGGCAGATTTGTTTTTCACCACTTTTAAGAAAAACAAGTGAAAAAATCTGCCACAGCCATAAGTCAAAATACATATTCGAGAAATCGGGAACTAGGATCCAAGACTATCAAATAATATGATAGTGTTTAGAGGGATGATGTTGAACGAAGTTACAACAGTTACAATATCCATCCGAGATAAACATTGAGAGTGATATTTCATTCAGTGCCGAAAACAATAGATAAACATTATAATCTAAATTAAACTATTTTACTCAATAGAGTGCTTCAGGGATGATGTATTTTTATAGGCTTCCAGTTCCATCGTCCTGAAGTCGATGGGTTTTTTTAAATGTTTTTTTTGTTTAAATGCCTGAAATAAGTTCATATAGTAGACGGGACTATGTTAACACCATCTCATACCATTAGAAATTTGGGTGTAATATTTTACTCGTCACTTACATTTCAATCTCATATTAGTTCAATTACCAACACTGCATTTTACCACCTCCGTAATATTGCCCGCCTGCATCCAACTCTCAGCACCAAAGACACTGAAACTCTCATTTACGCTTTGATAGCCTCTCATCTCAACTACTGTAACTCACTTCTCATTGGACTGCCAGCTAAAACTATTACAGTATGTTCAAAACTCTGCCGTCAGTGTCATCAATCAAGTCAAAAAGTCTGAACACATTACCCCTTTACTTTATAATCTACATTGGTTGCCTGTTTCTGTTCGCATTCAGAATAAAATTATTTTGTTAACTTTCAAATGTCTTCATCGACTTGCTCCCCATTATTTATCTGAACTGCTGTACTATTATTCACCTTCTCGCTCTCTTCAGTCATCTGACTCAAACCTGCTGACTGTACCTCGCTTTCGTCTCACATCAATGGGTGGTAGACCTTTCAGTGTTGCAGCTCCGAAACTCTGGAATTCTCTTCCACTAACTCTTTGCGACACCTTCAATATATCATCATTCAAAACTTTTCTTAAAGTATTTCCAGCCTTCTTCTAACTAATGTTCTGCTGTGAAACTACTGCGTATCTGTGTTGTGCTTTCTGGTTTTGCTGTTAAGTCACTGTGTATATTTATATGTATGCATGTGTATATGCATGTACTGTATAATATCGCATGTATTCTTGAATGAAGCTGTGTTTATGTATTTTCTCCTTGTACAGCGACCTTGAGCTTGGGAAAGGCACTTTATAAATAAAACATTATTATTATTATTATTATATAAATCATAAAATCAACTC